TGCAGAATGTGCAGATCATATCTATTGAGATATTTCTGCAAGGAAACTTATGATTTAAATTATGAGTGGGTGGATACCACTGTGAAATTATTTTGAGATATCTGTTGTCTTTTGCAGTGTCACAGCAAGAACTGAAAAGATTTCATCTTCAGATCTTCATAGTTTGCTGATCTAAATGGTGAACTGCTCTCTCTTCAAATTTCTCCTCTAGATTTCATGATGCACCGATCACACCTATTACAGTATTTCTGCAAAGAAAACTTTTGCTTGCATGCAATCCTGAAATGATTGTGAGATGTTTATTGTCTTCTACTGTTTTCCATAGTGTCACGGCAAGGACTGCAAAAAATGTGCTAGCGACTTTAAGCCAGAAATCACAAAAGGAGAGAGCTGAACTGTGTATCAAGTGTGACTGTCAAACTACTTAGATACTCTGAAACAAACAATAAGTCGCACTGGGAAAAATCAAGTCAAAATTGGGTCAAGATTGCAATCTACTGTTAAAATCACTCACTCATTCACCTCAACAACGTATATGGCTTTGCCTCCCATAGGAGGCAGTTACCACAGAAATAATTATTATCTTTCTCTGTTAAGGGTAGCATGAATATCCCACGATAATTTATGTGGCCCCTTTTGAAAAAACGGTCAGTTTGGCCTGGTAAGTTCGTTTTCCTAATTTTGTTGATAAAAGAAGTCAGGGAGGTGCAGTCCCGCTTTATTTCAGTGGGAAGTCTGTTTAAATTGGAGCCGCACGAAACGCAATTGAACGCTGTTCGGATGAGCGTTTCACTCGAGGCAGAATTAAGTTTCTGCAATCGTTTTGTGTGTTCCTTGAGTGAACAGTGCTAAATCTTTGAAACTTTTCAGAGAGATAGCTTGGCAGCATGCCTTCAGTCCCTTAAAAACTTTTTGGGCTTTCATTTTAGCGGGGGATGTCGAGTTCAGCCAAGGAGCTCCAGTAATTATATCTATAATACTTGCGAGAGAACTTAACACAACATCCGGTAACAGAATAATTTGAATATATTACAATATAGTCAACTTAAGATAGATCGTAATGGTTATGTAAACAAAATGATGGCAGATATTATTTAGCGCAACTGACAGTCGAAAGCATGAAGAAATAGCATACTTTCCGACCGATCAATTCGCTCTAACACTTTCATTTGTACATGCTTTGATTTGTACAAGAACTTTTCTATAAAAAATAGGTCACTGCACTCGATTAGGAGAAAACATCCATCTTACCACTACTTGTAGAAGTGGCCCATGACTGAACATTAGAATGAAGAGCCTCAGTGAATCGTGATGTACGCACTCTTGCAGAGACTTACCGGGGATGTTATGTGCAGCACAAGATGCGCAGTGCTCAGTAATTATCTAATTATACAAGTCACGTTCACTGATTGTCTGTTTAAAAAACAGAGCTGCAAGCGAATTATTCTCGCGCCTTGCGAAAAATAACGATTTTAATTGGGAAGATAATGATTCCCTACGAACGTTTCCAAATTTTTACAGAGCTATTTAAGGTCTAATTTTACTAGAAACGCTAATAATAACAGTTACGACTTGTACGTGACACATCACAGACAAACAGGAACATTTAAGCGTCCTTCCTCGTTACCAGTCTTGCCCTTACCTCATGCCAGGTCACTCAACTTTGGCGATAATCACGTACAGATAAAATTTCCTATAGATATTTACAGCAATTCGTCGACGACGTTAGCGTGTCAATGGCTGGATTTTCGAGTTCTACACTGTTTCTTATATTCCTCTCGTTAACCGATACTTTTGCCAGTGAGAGTTATACAAATTTATGGGCCGTGAAATTTCGTGGTAATCAGGAAGAAGTCGAGCGGTTTGCCTTGAAAAATAATCTGATCTACGACAGACATGTAAGTATTGCATTGTCTTTTCTCACGTTTCGCTCGATTTCAGGAGCGGAAATTAGCTTCAGTATTCTAAATTTTTTGAAAAGGTAGAACCTTTCCCAGGATAAATTCTTGGTTTCGTAGATGGCAGCCGTTGAAATTATTTCGGGCATGAAATGTAGCCTTATTTTATTCACACACGGCTGTAATTGTCTGTAAAGACGAGTATTTCTGCCGGTGTACTGAAGACTGTAGAAAATGGATAAAATTGTTGGTTGCTATTACGTGAATTTAGCTTTTGCTTACATAGGAGAAATTTCAATGTTATAAATGTTTTACTCAGTCATAAGTACACAATTGCTAGTCTTTTTTACCACATTTACTACAGAAATATTCTTTCTATTTTGAGCCAGTTCAAGGAACACATGTGTGATAGGACATGTACAGCAAATGTGACTTTTGGTGACAAAAAATGTACACTCATAGCCACAGTATCATCAGCAGGGTTACATGTTGTCAAGGAGGCCATATAAAAAATTTTAAGGATTGTACATGTAGTTGTCTGATTGGCCATGTATAGTTGAATAAGCAGCAAAAGTAGCCCTTTTTCAAAATGAAAATTTTCAATGTGACATGGACATCTCTATTAGTTACAAGGGGTATTCTGAAAATCATTTGAAACCAAAACAACTGAGAGTCCTGCTTATTTAATAAAGATGAAAAAAGGTGATATAAGAGAAGTAAGGTGCAGAAGATAACAGCACTTCAATTGTCAGTGTTAAATTGACAATAGGTCTGTTTGCAGTTTTTTTCTGATGTTTTGAATGAGGTGCAAAAACACTAGGGCAAGCTGTGAGCTTTTGAAAATTTTGTTTATTTGCTGTTTGCTAGAGAAAGTATTTGATTTTAATTTGTGGGGGAAAAAAAAGTCTCAAAAGGAATGCATGAAGCAGCTGATTGAGAAGGAATGTTTTAGGGGAGCTGGTACTGAATCACAAAAGGTGTTATGACCTGAAAGGATTTCCTCAGTTTCAACATTTTTTGTGCTCTTTCATCAGGGATCTCGAGTTGCATATTTTGTAGACATTGCATCTTGTACCACACAAATTAAGTCAATTTATGTCACACTTTGCAAATTGTTGTTAAGGAGAAAGTCACCTTGGATAAAACCTAACAGAAAGCTTGTTCCTTTTGCTTAGCGTTTTTCTTTTTCTCTTGCTTGCTTTGCCCACTTTTCCTTCTGTTTGTTTCTCCCAAAGAATTTTAGGCTTTGTTTTTCTATTGTAATTTTCATTTCACCCATTGAAGTCAAAGATTGACCCTCTCAAAAAATTTTAATTGATTGATGTTTAGTGCAAGTAAATTTGAAGATTTTAAAGCAATTTGTAGAATTAAGTTTGTGGCAAGTTTCCCATCTTTAAGGTTGTGTTAAGATGTAAAATGACTTACAGAGACATATTAAAAAATACTCATGAGTTTTTTGCCAATGCAGAAACATTTCAGCATGTATACATAAATTAACATTAAGCTTCAAATGAACAGAGCTCTTTAGGGATATTGTTCAAACACATTTTTAATTTATCCAAGATGGACCCTTCATTTTAAATGTAGCCCATATAATACAGGGTTCTCATTAAGTTCTGGTCATGGTTTAAAATCAATTGAAATATATTTGATGTAGTGAATTTTACTCACATGGTTGAAGATTGTACCCCTTAAGTTTAAATACATGTCTCATGTGTGCAGACTGATGAAAGTGCAATACATTCAAATAACACTGGCCAATTAGTTTCTTGTTTTTAAAAATTACAATTATAGTTTACATTAAGAACAATAGAAATGATAAAAAATAAAAAAATCTGGACCATGATAATTTCCTCTCACACTTGCATGCTGTAATGTTTCATCGCTGAATTGGGTCTAACATTACAGATGCTCAGTACAGTGTATGCTCTCAGAGAAAACTTTTATATTTTAAGATGAAGGTGATTCAGTTTTGTGCACATTTTTCAGCTCATTGAGGACTATCATACCTTAAAAAGACCTGATCTGCTGAAAAGTTCTCAAAAGACACAGTTGTCATTGGAGATTGATGGCAAGTTGCATTCGGAGAAAAAGGTACATTTGTTTATATCATACATGCAAAAGTCAAGATGTAAACTTTTGGGTGGGAAAAGGAGATGTACTGATACTTGAATGAACAGATAATTCATTTTTGCATGTCAGACCGAACAATATACTTGTTCTTGCAGACTTTGTGCTGTCTTGATATTAAGGAATTTGTTGAATATGCAATGAAATATATTGTGTCTCAATGAAATAATCATTTCTGAAGAATTATTAATGATTTTATTTCCTTGGTATTCAGGTTGAGTGGTTTATGCATCAGAAGGTGAAAAAGTATAAACTGTTTTCTAATAAACACCTGGAAATACCTTGGTACATTGTAAGTCATTTTTATTGATATTTTTATTGGTTTTTGTATTTTATGATGGTGATGATGGCAATGATAATGAAACTGACAATAGCCTTGTACTAAGTTCAACTTACATTTCAAATTTGCCATTTGGCCATCTAAAATCACAACAGAATTGCCAGAGGAAAGATTCCAAGTGGTGAAAGGACAACTTTATGCAAGATTACATAATATAGTACTCTACTGTTGACATCTCCAATTCTCTTTAAAATTAGCTCAATTAGTATTAAGGTAGTCACATGATTTTGAGTGCAATTTGGAATAAATAAGCATGAGTAAATTTTTTCCAAGACTAACGAAATTGCCTGTAGGGCAACTGCAATTTGTGGTCTTTGAAAGAATTTACAAGTGCTTATTTATTCCAAATTGCATGAGAAAAATCATGTGATTATGTATTAATAAATACATGAAAAAATATGAGATAGCTTATCACAATTATGCAGAAGCAAACCCTGCTAGTGACGTTGTGTGTTCAGTCAAAACAACTATGTACGATCAAAACAATAATATACTGTGATATTTCAGATCTTTAAGGTGCAAAAAAGTTCAAAGTCTGGCTGAACAGTTCAAGGGATTGTTTAGTTTGGTTTGTTACTTCTTTGCACTGAATCAACCCTCTTTAGCATTGAATTACCTGAAAACTGCATTTATCTTAGCCAATCAGAGCTGAGTAATTTTTTCAAGTATCTTATTAGGTCTGCAACTGTGTAAATGATTACAAAGTCATACAACCACATAGCGGGAGTCTGATTTGTCAATCATGTGTATCATTACAGACTGAATTTGACAACAGAAACTTCTGTCATCAATTAATTGTAGCCATTACAATTTCTAAAGCAAAAAGAAATACCTTTATTTTTAACATTATCTAAAGTAAAAAGAACTCCTCCATTTTGGAATTCCCTAGTTTTTTAGAGTAAGTGGTTGTTACTATGGTCATTGTAATCAATTTCTGTGATTGGTGGATTTAGCTGAGTGGACTTAGTATGATTGGCTGCTTATTTAAAACTAATAGATTACAGGTGTCTGATCACAGCCAACTGTGTAATTGTACTGTAAGATAACAACTTGACAGAATATTAGTGAAAAATAAAGCAGGTAATGCACCAATCACATTAATGTATTCCAGGAGGCTAAATGTTTTTTCCCAGACTACTTTCATTTTTTCACATATTAAAGATAATTGATGAAGTAGCCTCCTTGCAAGAATTTCAATTTGAAGATGTCCTGTTTACAAAATCTATGTGATTGAAATTTCGTTTTGAAGGAAGAATTTTGTTGTATATAGAGGTATGATGTTTGAGTAAACATGCTTCTGTATTTTAACTGCTGAAAATAGGGACATTAGCCATGGAAAACATGGCTAGGATAATAAAATGAAGAGTTTTTTCAATTTTAAGGCCGAATATCAGTCAACAAAGAAAAAATGTTGTCAGTGATAAGACCTTACATTCATCAACTTTACTACTGAATAATATATCACCCAGGTTTGAAACTTGGCAGGGCAAAACTACAAGGGAAAAAGAAACTTTTACCCACAGTGCTCTCTTTAGAATGGAATGATTCGCAAACAGTTTTTTTACATTTCAGATTGTGGAAATTTTATAATTTCAGCCATAAATTAGTTGAAATGCAAAACTCTAAGTGATGGTTAAATGAATCAGATAACTTAAATATGTCTTTGAAATTAAACCACTTGAAAACTGTCCAGATTTGGTCAAATTTGGACATATAGCCTCCAGGAATACCTTAATTAGAACTGGTAGTGTTGTGTCTTCATTTTTCTCCTTTTCTTTAATGATAACATAGGGCACCAGTTGGGGCTAATTGACAACCTTTTCTGTAACTAATAAGAGCTAAGAGTGTTTTTTTTACCTACCATGGCAACTAAAATGATCACAGCTTGAAGTATGGGTTGACAATGCTGAATATAGTAAAAACCTCCTATCAGGCCTACTTCTTATTTCATTTCTTGGATTATAGAATAGACTGGAGGGATCCCAAGGCCCAACATTGAATGTTATTTCTGCCTGGAAGGCAGGATACACAGGAAAAGGAATTACAGTGGCAGTAGTTGATGATGGAGTTGATGGCAGTCATCCTGAACTAAAGGAAAACTATGTAATTATGTTTGGCTCATTTTTATGTTTAGTTTTTCTTTTATGTTGAATTCAAGAGCACTCTAATTGGCCTTGTTGGTAATTAAGTGAATTTTGAACAAAATTAATTTGTGCTAAATGGGAAGGCAATATGTAATGTTTGATTTCTTGGTTATCAGCATGTACATGATCATTGATGACATTATTTGATTGACATGTGCATGTAAACATGCATCAGTGATTGAATAACATGTGTTGGGTTCCTGTGTTACCCCTCTACTTGAATGTTAGTTTGTAACTCTGGGGTTCATACAGAGGATGGGGCAGATCCCAACACATGAAGTTACTTCTTTACATTACAATTAGTTCCATTTGTAGGACAGATAAACCAAGAAGGAAATTTTAAAAAAATATCTTTTTGTATTCATATGATATACCTCTGGTACAGAGGACTTATACAGTGTTAGTACTTATCTTGCAGAATACAATGTAAATGTTTATACAAGTCCTGGTTAGAGACAAAGACAAGAATTTATCCATAAGTTATCTGATGGGAAGATGGTGTTCCTTGGAATAATTTGGCCACTTTTTATAGTATTAAACTGTACATTATAATTTATTATGAATGAAATAAATTTGGGCTTAAGCTAAATGAAAGTTTTTTTTAATGACAGGCATTCTCCACCATGATTGTTGTTTGTTGATGTACTTTGTATTTAATCTGTTTCATCAGAGAGGGGACTTAAGTTTCGATTATGTGAATGGCAATACCATGGAACATGGAACACCTGTATCTGGGTATGTTGATTGTTAACTAACATACATGTATCTTGATTTACTATATCTGTGTGTTGAAAAAAAGTTAACAGCCAAATTTTCAACTCCACAACACCTGGAGCAAGGCATACCTATATAAGGTGATGTAGAATGTTAGCTGATAACTGGAGTTGAATGAACCAGTCAGAAGACTAGGAATGCAATATTCAAAGTTGACATTTTTATAATATCTAATAGCTGCAAGTGGTTAATGGACAAGGAGTGTGTGGATTTTATTGTGTCAGGTGAAGTTTGTGGGGTGAAAATATCTGGACTGTATTTAAATCAGTACTACAGTTGATAAGTGTTTCAGGTCAAACACCCGTTAAGATCAGCTTAATGTAGCTCAAACCTAGAAGAAAGAAATATAAATTTCATATGATTTATTGAGGCATTACTTTTGGATCACCATTTGAATTCTGAAGGTCAAGGATTATGCTATCTGCCAAAATCTTCCTTGTAAGTTGATAGTTGTGTGAGGAAGTGATACCAATATTTACATCATACAATTCACTTGTAGCCATGGCAATAAATGTGCAGGCGTTATAGCTGGACAACGTGGTAATGATTTATGTGGAACAGGAGTAGCCTATGAAGCCAACATTGCAGGTAATAGCATTACTCCAATACATTAATTTTACTGCCTTTTCACTCCAAAAGGATACTACACAGGTTGTTGAAGAGTCTCACTTTTTCACTCAACCAAGTTTTAACTAATGTCAGACAGGGTATAGACTTGTATGACTTAACTCCCCTCCTCCAAAAAAGATAGCAATAAAAAAAATTAGGAATGTATTAACCATCCAAAATGTATGTGCACAATCGCAGTTTGTAGTAGTAAGAAGTTTTTAAGCTGCGAAATTTCAGGGACCTGATAAACAATAGCTCTTGACACAAAATTTGTGTAAGATTTTCAGAGGATGGAAAATTATTGATGGACATCTGTTAATAAAATGGTAATTGTATTTTTATGTAGCATTTTCCCACTTTGTATTTTTGCCAAAAAATATTGCAGGGATTGTCAAATCTTCTCGAACTTTATGATCAAAAGCCCCAGCCAACATTGTCGTGGGCCTTTTTCTTTATGCTTGACCAAAGACATGTCAAACGGATCAACTTTAGAGTTTGAAGCGTTAAGTCATTGAAAGGAAATTAAGGCAATCTTGCATTCTTTTTCTTTCAGGTGTTCGCCTCTTTGATTCTGGCATTTGGTCGACTGACGCATGGCAATTCTTGGCCTTGAAACATAAACTAGGAAGCATTGACATATATTCCAACAGCTGGGGGCCTGGGGACATAGGCTGGGAAGTAAAAGGTCCTGGACCGCTGGCCAGTAAAGCTTTAGAACGTGGAATAACAACGGTATCGTATACTGGCAGAGAGTGAACAGAACTTTTACCATTTTGTCTGCCTTGTGTCGTGTCGTTTGGTAGATGTTCCTCGTCATTCCTTTTGAATCACGTTTAGGCCCATAGTCGTGGCATACTTCAAATTTTTGGGAAGCCTCCCTCTTTTGAGGCTGGGTCGATGCACATTGTGTGCTTTCGAATTGATGAGGTTCTTCTATGAAAGCGGTAAAAGGTGTCACCGTAGTCATATAGGTACTAAATGAAAATATGTTTGGTGCACCTGAGGTAACAACGTGATGATATAATAAATGGTACAGAGAGCGACCAAGGTGACAATTCTAATGGCATTTCCAGAAAGAAAAAGGTAAAACGTAAGCCCCTTACGTTACCAGCAATGTACTGTTGTTCCTTGCTTGGCCTGATGGCGTTGAGTTCATACACAAATAGATCTCGAGATACAAGCATGCTACGAATGGCTTGTTGAAGCCACAACATCCCAACTAAAGCGTCGTTGAAACCCAAAACATGTTCGCTTTTCCATGAGGCCATGTAAAGCCTTGTCTTTGCTGATAACTTGATTCCTTACTTTTTACTCTCCTTTTTGGAGATAAAAGACTCGGTGTCACTACCACTACGCGTTTTTTTTTTGCTTTACAGTGCATCTAATGAACTCTGACCTGCAAATTTCAAAGGCTATTGTTTCAGTATTTTCTATGATTGTTTTCTTAGTCTGAATGGATAAATGTAAAGTAACATTCAATTTATCATGTTAGGAGTATATGCAAATGGATTTATGATCAGTCACTGCACTTTTTGGAGGTTCTACAAACGTTCATGCCTAGGACTTTGTTTAAATCTAGGGTCGTGGTGGCCTGGGTGCCATCTACACGTTTGCGGCTGGTAATGGAGGCCTAGGGGGAGACAGTTGTGCATACAATGGCTATGTAAATAGTATATACACCATTGCTATTACCGGTGTGAATCATGATGGATCCCTGCCCACCTACGCTGAAGAGTGCCCCGGAATAATGGCCACCACTTACAGTTGGGATTCAAACAAAAACAAAAACGTCAGGGGTTCAGAAAAACACGCTATTGTAAGTGGAGTGAAACAAAACTGCCGTTAACCAAACTGTATTGGAAATCCTATTACTTATTCCATTTGCGCTTTTTGTTAATTTTCTGGTTGTCCTCTCCAGTGTTTTGTTAAATTCTTTGTTTTCGTTTGAAACTGAACAGTCCTTTCGCATTATTGACCAAGGGTGTATCTTATACTGTTAGACACCTTCGTCTCATCTTATCTTACGAGAAAGTTTACAGACAAGTATAAGTTCGCCTTAAAGCGACGTTACCCGAGGTGGGATTAATGTAATCGCATAACCTCCCTTATGGCACGCAAGGTATAAGTTATCGGAGCTACAGGCTTTTTAAACATATCTATTTTTCCCTTTCAATGTAAGCAGTGGTTAACGACTGTTTTAGTTGTGTGGCTGATACAGTTTTATATATCATTTAGATAACTGCTGATAACAAGAAAGGATGTGTTCATAATTTCTCGGAAACGTCAGCGGCTACTGCAATCGCATCAGGATTGATTGCACTAACCCTGCAAGCAAAGTAAGATTGTTACGTCATTGACTTAAACTTGATAGCGAAGTGGCTGAACAGAAAATGATTTACTCTTTTCCTGTGGACCACTAGTCAAGAGTTTGGCAAAGGAAAAAGGGGAATGGTTGAGTCCATTATTACACATGCAATATTATCTTTTTCAGTACTAATTTAACATGGCGTGACGTTCAACATATCATAGCAAACAGTGCAAGAGCAGCGCCGGGTGGGGTCTTCCTCGAACGTGGAGAGTGGCAGCAAAACAAAGCAGGATTTTACTTTAGTAAGTATTATGGCTTTGGACTCATGGACGCTGGCAGGATGGTGAATCTAGCAAAGAACTGGACTCAAGTCCCTCGGCAGCGGAAATGCAAAATTGAAGGGAGTGAAAGGTACATGCAAGGTTTTATTTTACACTCCTTTTGGCTTTGCTTACACGGCCGGCAAATGAAATATTCGAAAGCTATCGGACTTACAGGAGGTGGAATCGGACCTTCCGTTACAGTAAAATATTTTCACGTGATTCACTCCGGCCATATACATATATGTGCTAATGGATTTAAACAACCATCTGCCGTTTTCGCTGAACGAATCATTTTTTTAAAAAGTTGAGTAGTTTGATGCACATCATATAGCATTTTGTGGAGCTCTTAATTGACATTTTGCCAATACGGTGGTTATTTTGAATAATGTAAATGTTTGCGTGTAGTACAATTATAGCAGCTATTTTGGAACTTATGGCTCAAGAGAAAACGCTCTTTACAGCAGTTAACCCAGTTACTACAACATTTTCGTTTTCAGGCAAATCCCAGGTACAGTTTCAGTGGAGGTGAAAAATTGCGAGATCAAGTTCCTGGAACACGTGCAGATCAGAGTAGATCTTAATTTCTCTCGCCGTGGTGACTTGTTACTTCATTTGAAGTCACCGAGTAACACAACCTGTCCATTGACGCGAGACCGCTTTGCAGACAACTTTCAGAAGTTCACGAACTTGACAGACTGGTATATTACAACTCTGTTTCACTGGGGAGAGAATCCTACAGGGAAATGGGAGCTCAAGATCAGTGATGCTGACCCAGGAAACCCAAGTGCAGGTTCAAGTTATTTT